CTGTAGCTCAGATTTCACTCTTTAAATAAGATTACCATAATATCCAGACTATAAATCGCTACTTTTTCCACTGGCGTTGAACCTTTGTGTCTTATACAATGCTGCGGCTAATTTACAATTATTTTTTTTTGGATGGGCTAACGAGCTTCATGCCGCCAAAACATTTAGCCCCGTCACACCCGAGTGCTCACAGAGCTGCCCTACATGTCTCTTTTGGGGGTTGGGCCTTGTGACTCAATGAGACTATCTGTATACAAGTTAAAATAATAATATTCTGACCAATGAAATTACCGAACAGGTAACAGTGAACCAATGAAACGGGGAGGGGAGGAGATAATGGGAAGGGGGAAATCCGCTCTCCTCCTGAGATGGGATTCCCCTGCATGTGCGGAGCAATGCCAGTGGATCCTGACAGCGGAGCAGGAGGTATATGAAGATAGTGATCAGGGACTTCCTGGTAGGCTACTGTATAGGCCTGTCACGTTAACAATTTTTGCTTGGTGATTAATTGTCTCAGAAATCACTGCGATAAACGATAATATTGTTTGAAATTTAACAATATTTGTCAAATTTTGGAAGAAATGTAGATTTGTTTGGCATGTAGTACCTTTTTTGACCACCAGATGACAGTATAAGACTGTTTGAACCAAAGCATGGCTAGTTGAGCAGCGTCTCTTTAAGAAAAATGGGAGGGAGGGCCCTTGACGTGACATGGGCTAACATGGTGGATGCTCGTTGGTTTGAGCTCTTTAGCATAGCATTTTTCACACAAAGCTTTTAATAATAAAATCAGTCAACAAGTTCTCAGCTTCTTTTTTCAGAGAAAAACAACTTTTTACACAAAGGCACCGGTTTCAACTGTGAATTTTGGAGCTCGACAAGACAGAGGTTTATTCCCGAGGTCGGCCTGTTAGCTTAGCTCGTAGCTTAGCTTCTTAGCTTAGCTGCTTTTAACGATCCAAAAACGTGATTTTGGATCGTTAAAGCAGATTTTAAAGAGAAAGAGAGGGGGTCATTGAAGAGAGCCGGAGTTTAGCCGTGTCTACAGTAGAGAGAGAGAGAGACACAAAGAAACGATAAAGCCGGTAAATGAAATCAGGTTGATAATTTTCATTCATCATGCGATTAAGTGATTTATTGTTTATCATGACAGCCCTAGTACTGTATTTCTTTTTTTTATTATTATTATTAACCAGCCGTGTTACAGGCAGTGTTCAGAAAAGAAAGAAAGAAAAATTTTCTGTAAGTATTTGTGTATGCAAGTTTTTTTTTTTTTAATCTTTCTGTGTACATAAAACAAACACCTGGGGCTTATAGCTAACCGCAGCCTATAGATGTACAAAATTATTATTATGATCAAATTTAGTGGGCGCGGCTTATATTCTGGTGCGCTCAATAGTCTGAAAATTCCAGTATATTTTTAATCTGAGGGCTAGACTTACTTCGATCGATCGTAGCCAAAAATCTCCCGAATGTGCCTGGAAATTTCCTCTTGCTCTTCACCTCCATCGTCAATAAAATCATCCATTTCTGGGTCATATTCTTCCTCCTCGTCCTCATATTTCCTCTTATAGGCAGATGTGATGGGTGGTAACATTGGTCCTGCAATAAAAAAAAGAATATTTTAGTCAAGTTTGAATTATTTTATTTTAAAAACTGAAACAGCAGAAAATGTTAACAGGTAAATTAAGCTTGATGATGCAGATGTTTTATCGGTTTTTGTTAGGTAGAAAGGCTGCTGCTCTGTGACCCAGCAATAATGTCAGACTGTCGTAGTGTTGCTGACACAGGTGAGTTTAGCAAACAAAACCTTTGCCCTGGAACTCCCACTGTAGTTTCATGCAGTTTATAAAATATTAAGTATACATTTAAAAAGGCACAGACTGCTGGGATGTTTTTAGGTCAGTTTTTATGCATTTGTTTCAGCAGAAACACTTGGAATATTTATTTCTGCTATTGCTTTTGAAAACTAAATTATGGTGGATATCAGATCTCTGACAATAAAATTAGCTTATTCTTGGTTCCCACCTGGTGGTCTGTTCATCATCGGTCTGGGTGGCATGCCTGGTCTAGGCACCACCCCAGGTCTCTGTTGCATGCCTGGCCGAGGTGGGACTCCTGGCCTGGCTCCTCCAACATTTTTGGATGAGATGGTTTCTGACACAACGGTGCACTTTGGTCTTCCAGGTCCGGATCCAAAACTTCCAGTTGGGCGCCCTGGTGCCAGTCCTCCACTGCCAGGTCTCCCCGTCCCAGCTCCTGGAAGTTGAAACCCGCCACTTCCTGGGTGACCACGTGGGCCACTTCCACTAGGCCTGACCTGTGGTGCATTACCAGGTTTGGTCTGGATGGTGCCTCCAAGCCTTCCCTGAGGTTGGCTTCCTGCCTTAGGAGGACCACCCAAAGACGGTCTCATTCCTGAACTGCTATTCGATTTGACCGTGGAATTATAGCCAGGCCTTACTGGCTCTCCCTTACCAGATTTGATGCCTCCAACTGTAGGTCCCTGCTTTGAGCAGCTTCCTTGAATGGGTCTGGTCTGGTGTGAGCTCCCCTGTTGAGGCTTCTGGCCTGGTCCAGATGAACTAGAGGGCCTATTCCCTGAAATACCTGAAGCTCCTTTTTGATGGGATGACAAATTGTCTCTTCTGAAGCTAAGGTCACTTGAGGTGCTGACTTTTTGGGTGGCAGATGAGGGTCTGGGGCCTCCTTGTTTGGCTGAGACCTGAGATGATTGGACTTTTGATGGAATTTTACTTTTTATAGCACCTGATGTACCAGACATGCTAGCCTTAGGTCTTTCCCTATCACTGTGATAAACCCTGTCTCGACTTCTTTCTCGATCACTAATAGAGGATTTAGACGAAGAAAGGCCTCTGTCATTTGATAGTGGCAGGTGTGGCTTCTTGCCTTGGTCACTGGGGAAAGCTGGCTTCTCAACAGAGGTCTTTTGGGTTTGTGGTTTGCTGAATTTCTGTTCCTTCTGTTGAGTGCTTTTTCGTACCAAATTAGGCTGAGACTTGCTATTTTTGGGGGGCTCTGCTTTTGAGTCCCTGTTTTTGTCGAGTCCCTTAGCCTTGCGCTCCATCTCCAGTTCCCGAATCTCATCAGCTGTGCGGAGTCTCTCTTCCTTTTTTACTACCTTCGGTTTTAGTTCAACCGGCTCAAATTGCTTCTTCTCAGCCAATTTGAGTAAGTCTGCAAAGTTCAAGGTAGAAGAAGCAGGTCTGGGCTGACCACAGGGTTTTTTAGAAAAAGATTTGCTGCTGCTGCTAGTCACTTTAGCAGCTATGGTTCTCCCTGGTCTTTGCATCTCTGGTTCTTGCTCTGGTTCTGAATCCGTCTGTTCATATTCATAATTATCTTCATCATCTAGTGGGTTGATTAGGTCATTTCTAAATCTTTCAGAATCTGATTCATCCAGCTGCTTATCAAGTTTTGAACCTCTCTTTTTAGGAATTTCCAACACAGGGATGCCATTGTAGCCTTTGAAATTGTCCTTGGTTCTGGAAGCCATGGCTCTTGCTTTGCGATCAGACTTCAATTCAACCCTCTTTGCTAATAGCTCGTCCTTCTGTTTCTTCATTTCTATTTCTAAAAAGAGGGAAAAATAAAACATGTCAACACTTAAAGCATCTGAAGCACATAAATGAAATGTCAGCATGTCTTTTTAGTTAATTTCATGAATACCTTTTTTTCTGGTTTCACTGTACTGCTTTTTCAGAAGCGCCTGCACAGCAGCGGGGTTTACACCTTTAGACTTTGGGTCCTTTTTGGGAGGTCCAGCTTGTAAACTGTATCTCTTCTGCTACAAGAACGTCAAATAACACATTTAAGTTTAGTGGGTAAAAATGGAATAGTAACATAGTGTCCACAGTTTACATGGAACATAAATTTACTGTTCTAAAATGGCTCACACATAAAGTAATTTGATGTCATTCTCAAAGGGTCTCCCCTTATGAGACCTACAACAGACAGTTTTATAGGCATTTGACACACGTGTCAGGAAGTTAGGAGTTTTAGCATTTAGCTACTGACACAGATGGTCAGCATTAGGTTATCATGACTTTACAGACATAATCTACATATTATAGTAAGCGACGATCTCTAACTCACCTGTACATTGCTGTGGCCCTGGTTTTGTGAGGCGATATTCAATACATTATCAAAATCCATCATTTTGAGAGCAGAGGATGCTAGCTCAGTTGCTGATTTGAAAAAAACCCAACCAAAACTTAAGACCGATACGCCGTTTAAGTGTTACAAAGCTTGATTTAGCTTGACAGCTATAAAAGATGAAACACGCTTTGTCAAGCACAGTGAGAAAAAAAACCGTGCAAAGAACAGTCAATGGTATTTTACTTCATCGTTTACATAACGTGTGCTAGCGATGTTAGCTAGCTAATCATACGTTTACAGCTGTTATCGTGAGCTAGCCGAGATTCTTGTCGGACGAGTTGGTTCGTTGTACAGAAAACATGGGAAACCAAAGCAAGATCCATCAAAAATGTGTGTATTATTAAACGCTATGAAAACGACTCCCACAGCAACCAGTAACTTAATACGTCCAGTGTTGTTTGAAAAAAGGTAACAGAATGACAGAAAATTAACAGCCAAAGAGTAACGAGCAGAAGCGAGAGAATTCATGACACGTCCTTCCGCTTCTGTCTGCGCACAAAGACTCTGCGCAAGAGGAAACACGTTCAATAAAGAGGGGTGGTTTATTTTGGCTATGTAAGAATACATTTAAAGGAATTTGTCTTGCTTGACAAAAAAAGGAGAAGAGGCTCCAACTAGTAGAGAAAAACTTTAAAACATTTAAAAAGTATTTCATTACTGTGGTTGGAATTTATATCTGAAATGGCGTCCTACTTAAATTTGCACAAGCTATTCCATGTATAAAATGTTTTCTGATTTAATGTGCGACTGAACTTCCCGTTTTGCCGTTGACGCTTTCACAGTTAATAAGGCAGATGATGCTCGAATGCGATGCTTTGGGGTTTAACCGGAAGTAGCAAGAAAAATATTAGAGGGCGTGGTGCCCAAATGACGCATGCGCATTAGTAACTTTAAAAAAAGGCCAAAAGATATTTTGACATTTGCTAAACACAAGATGTCGCCACTTTTGTTAAAATTTCTAGAGATTCCATCCAAACTACAGTTGACGTCAAACTACATATTGTGCAATTCAGTAGATAAATTATTTATCTGTAAATATTTCAGTTATTTAGAAAAGCTACACTGCTTCTGTAAAATACAACAAAATGCATTTATATGAAAAACTGCCTGCACTGAAATTTGCTGGGGTTTTTTTTTTTTACAAATGTTCTACATTTTCCAACAGCAATGATGTATACTTAACTTTTTTAGATTTTTGTACCTGGATTATTGAACATGCATCAGGATGTAATGATGTATAGTTTTCACCCCAAAAGAAATATAGAAAAAAGACTCTCATAGGCCTGCATAGTTCGGACAGAGTGTAGATTTACTTTGTATTCATTATTAGACTTCAAGCTTCATGTACATATTGCATAAGGGGTTGCTGGGGTCTTAAGTAAAATAATAATAATAAAAACTTTATGGAATGACAGGATGACACACAGCTCAAATTAGTGCAGGTTTTAAACAAAGCTGCAGGCTTTTTGCTCGAAATAAGCCTCTGATCCAACTTAATCCATCAACGTCGGATCGTCTCTCACAATCGACTATAAACTCGACCCTTGATACCAAACAGCTTCATTTTTTCATAAATGTAAATAAAGGCCATCTGCTTCGATATGTAAACAGCAGCCTGGCTCCACCTATTAGGGCGTGCCTTACTGCTTTGCCCGCCCCTAAACGTATAATCTCTGCTCCTATTGGCTAAACCTGTAGGCCCGCTCACGTTCCTGCTTGTCTGTCTCCGCCTACTGGACGTTGGGACCGCCTACGTGATCGAGGACAAAAACAATCGGCATCTCTGCAAGAGCAACACAAACACGAGGATTCACGGCAGTTTCACACAATTTAATACCACCTTTTGCAAGGCAAGGACGGCACAAAGAAAGAAATGGTCTCTCCGGCAACGGTGGTGAGTGTCAACATGAAAAACCGGCGTTTGAATTAAACAAACATGAACAAATAGCTTCAGTTTAGCTAGTTACGTGTTAACTAAAGTTCAGATCGCATCACCAGTGTGTTTATGTTTTATTACATTAAGTGACTGACTGACTCGAGTCACTAACTGCTTTCGTTATTATTCACAGCTTGTCATACTTTGTCTCGGAAGGAGAACGGCGCATGCTCATAGGCACACTATTTAATTGCTGTTAAATAAGAACGCTGTACTCTGTGCTTCCGGACATCCCTTAACATAAAGATATTTTGTACTTTTGTTTCCGTATCCGGTGTATAAAGCACAGCACAGGAACTTTTCGTGTTCCGTGTAGCTGCCTGTGGCAGTCTGCTCTCCCCTTTGTCGGTTCATCTTCCACCGAGGGAGACGTTTCCACAGAAAGCAATCCCTGACAAAAAAAAAAAAACAGGGGGAAGAAAAGAAAGAAAATGTGTCATGTGACTTCCCCTTCCCCTCCCCTTTCTGTTGTCTAAACGCGCATGCGCCGAACAGGTTCTAGTTTTCTTTTCTTCCACAGATTATTGTATGCCCTGTGCATCAGTCATCAAAATGCTCATTATGGCGGAAGTTATTATTGCTACATGAATAATTCAACTTATATAAGAGTCGTTACTTTCTAAAAGTTGTAAAATTGATCTCAATGTGGGGGGTGGGATGTTTGAAGGATGGTGTAGTGTGGTAAATCGTGATCAGAGAGAAGTCTGTGTGGAAGAATGCTGCTACACAAACTGGTTGCCACAGTGACGAGGATGCTGGGCAGGTCCAGGATTTGTCCTTTTCTTTATAACCAGGACATTAAGACTACAGGGAGAAAACATGTAAAGGTCAAATTAGACTTTCCATCTCTATGATTTATTTTCTAAATAGAAAAAAAAAAAATCCTGCTTCTGTGTGTCTGTGTTTGTCTGTTAATACAACTTCTCACAAACCACTGGAAGAATTTTAAAGAAACGTAAAACTTTATCAAATATTTTGTATACTATACAAAAAGCATTATAATGAAGCAGAAAGTAATCATTGGATGTATATTTACAACTAAGATTAACTTTTCGAGTTAATCTTTTTCAAGATGCTCGCCACAGTAAATCCACATTAGCCATTCACAGAAACTGAGTTAAAATTTGATGTGGTAGTAGCTGAGAGTTATTCACAACACATACTCATACTGAGCAGGGGCAGCTCCTGACCAAAAATATTAGTGGGGCGGATGTTAATTCCCTGAATCACTATCTGCACAAATTTTACAATTCATTTTACATTTTCTTTGATAAAAATAGACTTTATGTTGCCTAATGTTTAATTTATTTGTTGTTTTGTTTGCACCCTCCTCTCTTCCTCCCACAGGTTGACATTGTGTCTCCTAAAAAACAGTCCGGACTACTGAAAGTGAACGTTTTTTTTACAGATCTAAACATTTTTGAGAGCAAGTGTGCGGCCATCTTTCACCTCGTGTGTCAGACAATTGCGCGTTGTGTAAATTAATTTGGTCATGCATTGAAGTGGTCCAATTATCCTCGTTTCAGGTGTGGCTGGATGTGAGTGTGGGAGGCGTCCATTTCTCTGATTAACGGGAGGTCACAGAGGCACTGACGCCTCCTACACCCACATCCAGCCACACCCGAAACGAGGATAATTGGACCACTTCAATGCACGACTAAATTAATTTGCACAACGCACTTTGACTGTCTGAAATGACAATGACACTTGCGCTCCAAATTGTTTAGATCTGTAAAACGTTTTCACTTTCATAAAATAAATATTAAAGTGAAATCATGTTAGAATATTTCTTCACTGATTTAACTAAATGTTCCAAACAGATAAAATCCACAGACTTCTGATTACAAGTCCACTGATTTAACCCTTGACCTATCACAGCCACACGTGCACTCACCACAGAACTGGTTAAATAAGATCCTACCATGTTAGCGAAAGGTGGAACGGTGGCACAGTTAGAGCTGCCTCTCAGCGAGAAGGTTGGATGGATGGATGGATGGATGGATGGATGGATGGATGGATGGATGGATGGATGGATGGATGGCCCAGCAACCACTGACTCTGAGCGTGACATCTCAAATAAGATCACACGTCATTTTTATGGTTTGACCAAAATAGCTTTTTTTTTATCATTTCTCAGCATTAGATTATCTTCGTTTAAAACTCTGGCATGAAAGGCTGTGGGTGATATGCATTCCTTCTTCTGGACCTTTAGCTGTAGGAAGTGACCGTTACCCTTCAACTTGCTGTGATTTGTTTAATTTGTATGCGTGGGGTCTTTCAAAATTGTTGGCCTTCTGTTTATTTCTGACTCTGAAGTAGGTTTTGATCAACACAGCCACACTGCACCATCTGGAGAACCAACTGTTCCCTTCATCAGGGAGTTTACTCTTTTTTTTGTCTTTTGCAAATTATGGAAACTCAAGCCCATGATTGGTAAACTCTGAGACTGGCAGGCTAAACAGTTAGTTGAAAGGTGTTAGCTGTGGCACAGACTTGAAGCTGGGCCTCCCATGACTGTCACTTGTTCTTGATTTAATAACCTCATTACCCAACTCGGTAACTTAAGTGTTTTTTCAGGTGATCTTCAGGTGGAAAATGTAACTACACACTGACTGCAGTTGACCTAAAGTCATCCCTGGATGAATGTAGCTGGAAGTTACAACATTTTGTGGCGCTGCATGAAACTGCTGTTGTCACATGACCAACATGGTAGCCTGGACCATGCTTATGTTACAGTTTTCCTCCTCCAGGTTGAGTACACAAGCCTTTACAGGTCTTTAAATATTTCTGGGCATCGTGTTTCAGACACACAGCGGTTGAATAGATGTTATCCTATCTGGATGTTTTTTGGTGCTTCTAAGTTTGAACATTTAGAAGGATAGAAACATTAGTTTGCAATATATATGTAGTATTTTTACATAGTATATATATATATATATATATATATATATATATATATATATATATATATATAAACTTATTCTTTAGTTTGTAGTTCCACATGGCTTAGGAAGCATTAAAATGCGTTTGAAAATTGTTAAAATGATTCTTTGGACTTTGAATATTGGGTTCTTTTAGGTTATGAAGTCATTCCACCTTGTTGTTCACTACAACAAGATAACTCATTGCTTTCCTTTAACCATGCCACCAATGATTAACTTTATTATGGTTTAATACATGTTTACAACAGGGAAGCTGAATGTGACTAAGAACATTTGCAAACAACCTTTATTTGTCATGTCATCGATCAGGCAGCTAAATGATGACAAAGTGATTCATTTGTTCTGCTTCTCAAATGAAATCATACTGTATGTTCTTGTTCTTTTACTCGGGGGACAGTGGACTGTCACTGAAGTCCTAGATGATGTCCCAGAGATGCTACTAACCTGTTGTATTCTTTGAGTTGGAGAGTGAGGCTGACACTGGGAGAAATTAAACATCATAGAGCCGATTAGATTTTAGGCTTTAGTTACTTTTTCTTAACAGAACTATTGTCAGCCATCTTGTTTTAATTCATTTTTCCCTACAAAAAATGACAGCCATTGCAGCGTCCACGACACTGATGTAACAATGACAAATGTAATAATCATCAATTCATTTTCTCCAGAATGGACCACACCACATCAAAATGAGTTTACGCATTTATTGACGTTAAGGAAGTGAGGATGAGAAATTGAGTCATTCTGGAGGTTGAGAGTCTCATGGTTGGCGGCAAGGAAGGAGGTGCCATCTTGGTGGCCAGTTTAGATGGATAAGTGAATGTTGGTGGTGATGAAGGATGAAAGTGATGAAGGTAGATTGGACCGCATGGATATGGGTCTAATTGAATTGGACAATCCTTGGATGTGCAGCGTGAAGCTAACATGAAAAGAGTTGAGTTAAATGAATGTGACGGCAACGGGTGAGGAGGATCAGAGAATGGGGAATGGGTGTAGGGTGTGAATTGATGGGATAAGGAAGAACTGATGGAGGATGGATGTCAGCATGCTGTAAGGGTTAGCTGATTTTAAACAGGCTTGCTTAGTGAGGTTTGGTTGAGGCGTAGTTCTGCTGAACCTGTTAGACTAACTGACACTGGATGTGAGACGAGACCAGGTAATCTAAGATTCGCTTTTTTAGTTTGAGCATATGCTGAACAAGTCATATTTTTATTTGCAAACAGCAGCTTTTATACCGTTTCTTAATGTTTTAGTTATCTCTCTCTCTCCCAATTAAAATTGTTTTCTTGTTTTGTCAAAGCTTTTAAGACTACAATAAAGGGCAGTAAAACAACTTAAATTAATAACTTTCAAAATAAGACGCATGGAAATGACTAGAAGTTGTGGATAATCTGTTACTTACTCCCATCTTTGTTCCCACTTTTATATATATTTCACAAATGTTCAGTGATTTCCATGTATTTATTTTTCACAGTGGTCTAAATCACATGATCCTCAACTACTGGCCTTCAGATAAGATACTAGACCAAATATTTTCTCTGAACACCATCAAGTGAAAGATATACCCTGCCTGCGCAGTGATGAACTCCAAACCACCCATGAATTCCAACAGCGCTCTGTAAATTTGTTGTGATTTCTTGTCTCCTATAGTTGTATAGCAGCCGCTGGTATAATAAATATACCAGTAATGGTAATAATGGCCAGTGTCTGATGGTTGATAGTGTTTTCCTCTGCTTGGCACTAATTGAGCTTTAACATGATTGACAGGCTCAGCTTGCACATAGGGCAAAGTGCATCAGGTAACATTATGAATGTAGCTTCAGTATAGCCTGTTAAAAATTCCTCTAATGCAACTTACACAAAGAATATTCTGATAGCATTTCAAATGGTAAATGGACTGCACTTACATTATACAGCGCCTTTCTATTTATCGAGATACTCAAAGCGTCTTACACTACAATCTGTGCCCTCATTTACCCATTCATACATCACTCTACTAGTCTCTACAAAGAATAATCAGTGCTTTATCACATTCATACACCAATGGGACACACATCAGAGGCAATGAGGGGTTCAGTGTTTTGCCCAGGGACACTTCGGAATGTGACTGCTGGTGGAATCAAACCTCCAACTCTTGCATTGGAGGACGGCTGCTCTAACCACTCAGCCACAGCTGCCCAAACCAGGGTTGCAGCGCAATTAATGAAATGAAAACATGCAGATGTTCTGCAGATGCAGAAATCTCAAGGTTCTTTTCTCCATAAAAGTCACATCAAATGTGCATTTGTAAGTTGTTTTGATATTTGGTTGAAACAAATTAGAATAAAAAATAAATAAATAAAAGCATTTTTATTGTTGCTATTAAGCAAAGTAAAATTTAACAGAGATAACCTTTATTCCTTATTCTTGTGTTTCTTTCATCACTTTTCTTTTATTCCTGTTTTTTCCACTCTGAAATTCATCTTTCCTCCAAATGTACTTGTAGCAAATTGTGGAGAAGAATTAAGAGTTTTTAAACTAGATCCTCTGGACGGTTTCTTTGTTTGTTGAGACGTTTCGTCCTTCATCCAAAGGACTTCATCAGTCCGATGCGCCACAACAAACTCAGTCCCATAAGTGGCTTACTCACATGGGCCAACCAGTTTTATGGTGATAAGATGGTTTCTGGGCCCCACCCTCTCCCCCGTTGACTCCTCTGAGGCAGTCATACCCAAAGTGGTTCAAAACTTCAAAGTTCATGCTCAATAATCCAGGTAATTAATCCAACAAAGTTAAGTCAGGTCCTCTGGACAGTTTCTTTTGTTGTTGAAACATTTTGTCCTTTGGACTTTGAATGAAGGATGAATGAGCTGAGCATGAACTTCGATGTTTTGAACCACTTTGGCTATGACTGCCTCAGAAGAGTCAACAGGGGAGAGGGTGGGCTCCAGAAACCATCATTATCACCATAAAATTGGTTGGCCCACTATGTGAGTGTGCTACTTATGGGACTGAGTTTGTTGTGGCTCCTCAGACTGAAGAAGTCCTTTGGATGAAGGACGAAATGTTTCATCAACAAAAGAAACCATCCAGAGGACCTGACTTAACTTTGTTGGATTAATTACCTGGATTATTGAGCAAGAACTTTCAAGTTTTTAATCTAGTTTCTCTATCCATCTTCTCACTGCACTGTTCCTTTTTCCTTGTTTGTTCAGATTTTTGTTTAACTTTTGTCCTCCTCCCCTTTTTTCCAGTTATCTGAACTCCAGTGAACCCTCACTCAGTTCCTTTTCCTCCTAATTTAATCTTTTTCCTGTCTGTTGTGCTCAAAGACCTTCTGTCAGAACCTTTGTTAGGTTGTGATTCCTTAGGTGATTTTATGTTCCACCCTGCAGGGCCTCGTCTATTTTTACAGAAATAAATCGGTCTGGTAACACTGTAGGTAATTAGAACTTGAGCCTGAGAAAGTTACGCACTTTTCAATAACATCAGTGAATAAGCAGAAGAAGACAGAAAGAACAACATTCTGCGAATGGGTTAAAAAAAAAAAAAAAAAAAAAAAGGTTGCTGGGAATCAAAGCAACACAAAGCTTTTCCTCTCATACTTTCTACGATTTTCTTTATTTTATGTTCATCATGTGAAATTCTGTTCTTCAGGCACACAGATATGTCTGTAATTCATTTCTTGCACTCGGCCTTCAGATACAAAATCTTCTAAATGATAGTGAGAGGCAGGAACAATAGCTTGACTCAGCTGATTATGTAAATGTGAAATCTGTTTCCAGGTCAAGAGTGAAGTCCCTAAACTGGTGCCATTCTTCAAGTCAACCTGTGTATACTTTGTCCTGTGGCTGCCCACCTCAAGCCCATCGTGGTTCAGTGCCCTCATCAAATGCCTGCCCATCTTCTGCTTGTGGGTTTTCCTGCTGGCTCATGGGTTCAGCTTCCTCTGTGTTCGCTCCAGCGCCCGCAAGATCCTGGCTGGTCTTATCTTTTCAGCTCTGGGTGATGCCTTTCTCATCTGGCAGGAGCAAGGTTACTTTGTCCACGGTGAGGAGACACAACATAAATTATCAGTGTAAATGTTGTGTTATTTGACAATTTTTTAAACAAGAAAAACATTAATTTGAACTTTGGCTTTATCCTAATAGTTTTGGTTATAAAAAAGGCAGCGATTTTGCATAAATTCCCCCCAAAAACAATCACTAGAATACTTTCAAAACAGCAGGAGAAATTCAAACGACCGCATATTAAATAAAAATGAAAGAAGAAAAAAAAAGATGAGAACAAGAACTCTTAAACTGACCTTAGTCTTGACCTGCCACACTTATTTTAATATGCAGTACATACACTTTTCCTTTAAAGCAATGCATTATTTTAATGAGTTTGTGAACTCTGAAGGCACAATCTAATAGTTGTGTGATTCAGTACTAAACTGCCATAACCAAGTCAAACATGGTGCATTTACTGGAAAAACATGCAAATGTGTGAGTGTCTTGAGTCAACATTTCAGTCACTGCAAATTTGAAAGAAAAGGGTTAGCTCATCTGCAAATTCAAAAATACTTTATTAATAAATAAATAAATAAATAGTTATTATTTATTTATTATAATAATAAATAATTATTAATTAATTAATTAATTAATTAATAAGATGAACTTTATTATAAAACATTTTGTACCACCCCTTCCCCCGTGTTTCTCTTTTCTTATCTAAAAGAAAAAGACAGCGCTTCCCATGAGGCCGCGGCTTCAGACACCTCCGTCTCCCATGTGTGTGGTTTATGTTTTACTCAGACGGGCTGTACTAAAATGTAATTTCTTTGTGGTTCTGTGCACTAGGGCATTAACAGAGTACTCGAGTAATCTACACATCGATTGCTAGTGTGCTCTATAAATAAATCTGACTTGACTTGACTTGACTAGGACATCTATCGAGGTTAAAAATGTAAGGTCGAGTATCCTTAGTGACGTCATATTATGTGACCACTGTATGACCGTAGGGGGCGGTGTTGCACTGTTGCAGGTCACAGAGTATGGTGTAACACCGGGTCCAATCCACCCAACCAGAACCAGCTTCCGCTTGTTTCACAAACAAAAAGCAAAAAATATTCATCTCTAAACCTATAAAAAAAAATCTATAAACATATTAATCTCTAAAACTAAACTTAATGCGCACCACAGCTGGCGGTGGTGCGGGGTGGTCGCCCCCCCCCCCCCCCCCACTGTTAAGTTTCGTTTTTGACGTGCTGCACGTTTCTTCACGTTTGCAGTTTAATAATAATAACTAATAGTTTAGTTTTTCCTGTCTCTTATTTGCAGTATGATAAATGGATGGAGCATAATATACGTATATATGTTTTGTTGGTCTTTTTTTGTAAATAATTACCTTTTTTTGCGGTTTTATTTATTTATTTATTTATTTTTGTATCTTGAGATCTATGACGTCATCAAATACTCAAGTTCTACTCGTGTTTTATTATGTTAATGTCGAGTTTAAAAATTATACTGTATACTCGTTCAACCCCTACTGTGCACTGACAATAAAGCTGATTCTGATTCTAAAACTTTAAGAAACAAATGTCTCCACAAAGCAGCTGAAAGCTAAAGAAAGCAACAGTTTTTCAGAAAGCTATCAAACAGGTTTGTTTGGGTTTTATCAAGATGATCAAGACCTTTACTAGCCAGAGGAAGTCAGAAGAATCGGTTTGCAAGAAGACAAATCATAACCTGTAAACGACCTGCCAAAATCAACTGTGTGGAGAGGCTCGTTACACACTCACTGTATGCAAAGTCATACAAAGGAAAGCTTTCTAACATCACTGACGCCAAAAGGAGTTTGTGAAAAAAATATCTTGAGACGTCAGTTGCATTTTGAAAACAGTACTGAGAAGTAATGAAGATACAATAATCTTTTTTTAAACAAATGGGCACACTGTAGATGTGAAAGACAGGTAATTTTGACCTAAAGTGTTTTATTATAAATACAAAGCACCCTTATTTGAGTCATTGCTCTGATGTTTAAATTATAATGTCTTGCAGGCCTTCTGATGTTCGCCATCACCCACATCCTTTATTCTTCTGCCTTTGGGATGAAGCCAGTAAATGTGCATGCTGGCCTTGGGCTCACCGCTGCATCCTCTTTTTGTTATATCATGCTGTACCCCTACCTGTCTGCTCCCTTCACCTACCTGGTGGCCGTCTATATCGCTTTGATTGGCTTCATGGGCTGGAGAGCCGTCGCAGGCTTGCAGCTGGCCAACGACCTCTGGACCTGGACCAAGCTGTCTGCCTGCCTGGGCGCGGTGCTCTTCATAGTCTCAGATCTCACCATCGCCGTCAACAAGTTCTGCTTCCCCGTGCCCTACTCTCGAGCTATCATCATGGCCACCTACTATGCCGCCCAGATGCTCATAGCCCTTTCAGTTGTCGAGTGTCAAGACGTGGAGATTTCCAGGAAGAAATCATGAGGGGAAGTCATCTCCGAGGGCAAGACAGTGGCTCCAGCTCCGGCCCTGAGTGATCATGGACGTATCTCACTGCCAGATCCCCAACCACCAGCCTTCATCTCAGTGTGGCACTAACCACACTGCTGTTACCATGCCGACTGATCCACTACATGACTATCATCCAGCTGTTCCACCAGTATATTAATCTTTATTCAAGAAGATACGGTAGTATTATCTTCAGCTATGCCCTGATCCTCCAAATCTAGAAAAGGTCGTCCCGTCAACCCCGTGGAGACGAGTAGAAATATTAGCCCATTCTATAGAGAGTATTACATTTCATGTAATTGTTTGGATGTATGGGGAGCTAATAGTTGGGCACTTTGTGTGTATGGTCCAGTGATGGTGTGCGTATGTGTGTGTACGTCTCTGTACGTGCATGTGTGTGTACATTTACATGATTGGTAAACCCTAGCTTTCCACACAGTCCCCGCACTCAATAAGTGGTCCAAAAACACTGCTTTACAATTTCTATTCGTTTTTTATTCATGCAGACTAGTTCAAAAGGGATTTTTTTTTCCAGCCATCGCTCATGTTTTTTTTTTTAACCTTGTTGCTCTGTGTCCTCTTGCATTAAGGGTGCTAATCTTTAAGTTTGGATCAGATGCACAATTGTTTTATTATCTGCAGTCCCTTCCATTTCACTCAGAACTACCCTAATGTAATGTCCTTGCTTACTATTAGTGTGCCCACCCAGTTACTGTTGATGAATAGAATAGTTCTATTCTATTGGGATATATTCAATAATTAAATAAATGGAAAATGAATGACTGAGACAAAAAAGTAAGAGGTGGAAAGGCAGAGAGGAAAGTTGTTAGACTTATATAAAACCTGTGTTATAGCTTTAGGTTATTATTGATCTTGCTGATGTCCTGGTGTTGGTATACCTGAATCACCTTTTGGTGTAAGATTAGAGATCTGGTTTGCCTGCCAGCAGTTTTTTTTTTCTCCAGAAGATGTGTGCAAATGCACCTGACATGCACAGCTCCCACTGCTTTTGTTATTGGGAAAAGTTCACATGGTTCTTATTGTTGGACTCGATTAGCTGACCCATGCTGGTATTGACCTTGTTATGAAAGCTGAAAAGAAAGGGCTTTGTTATTGGCTGGAGTCATTTTTTGTAACAGCTCTGTGTGTGTGTACAAATGTTTCGCTCTGGACCTCAGAAGTCACTCATAACGACACACACAGACACACAATTATGTACAGTGTAACAACAGGGCCTGGCTGGCTGCAGTAAGAAAAAAAGACAAGAGAGGGGGCTGGTCATGTGAGGAAATATTTATCCCATTATTTCCAGTAATTCCTTCTCACTGGACACTTCATCTGCTTTAATCCTGCAAAATCCTCCACAGTTAATCCGCAGCGAGGCCCCTCATAGTTTCTCGTTCATCTCTTGCATATTTTCTCTTCATTCTCGCTTTTCATTTGTTTCACCTTCTTTTCTATGGTAGTGTCTTAATGAAGAGTGGACCTCTGCTGTCCAACATTTTACAGTTAGTTACGTTTTGAAGTGTGTGTTGCCTTTGTCTTCACCACTGAGTGAACATGTGTGCGTGACGTGTGTGTGTGTGTACAGTACTTGTGACCAACTCCAGGCTATGAAAACCGTGAACCATCATAGTTTATATTCTGTAATACAAACTACAGTAGTCCTTTGTTTATTGCGGGTATTTGGTTCCACTCCCTCCACCCCCCACCCCACCCCCCCCCAGCAGTAACAGCAGTAAGCGAAAAAAGAGAAACAATATATATATTTTTTTATATATATATATATATATATATATATATATATATATATATATATATATAAATTAAGGCCCTTCCCACATTTGCAATGGTCTAAACTCTTAAACCTCATATTAACAACATACAGTACTGTATATGTAGCTACTAAATTTTACTTATCAGCTCTGCAGAACAGGAGCGGCTCTTGTTCCATTCCGACTCTGTTCTGGTCTGACTCAGTTCCGTTTCTGCACACGTAACCTGCAGTGACAAAGCCCACAATGGTACATGGACTGTAAATAAACTGTACTTACAAAGCGCCTTTCTATCTTATCAAGATACTCAAAGCGCTTTACTCTACAATCTGTGCCCTCATTTACCCATTCATACAGCACTCTACAAGATCTATACAAAACTAACCTGAATCTGTAGAGATTAATCAGTGCTTTTTCACATTCATACACTGATGGGACACACATCGAAGGCAATGGGAGATTCAGTGTCTTGTCCAGGGGACACTTCGATATGTGACTGCTGGTGGAATCAAACCAACTTTCGCATTGGAGGACGGCTTCTCTAACCACTCAGCCACAACCGCCCTTCAAGAGAATCAATGTTAAATGGACTGTACTTATATAGCGCCTTTCTATCTGATCAAGATAGTCAAAGCACTTTACATTACAACCTGTGTCCTCATTTACCCATTCATACAGCACTCTACTAGATCTCTACAAAGCTAATTGAACAAATATTCTAATGAGACTAATCATTGCTTTTAGATCACATTCATACACCAATGGGACACACATCAGAGGCAATGAGGGTTCAGTGTCTTGCCCTGAGACACTTGGGCATGTGACTTCCGGCGGATTTGAACCCACAACTCTTGCATTGGAGGACAGCTGCCCTACTGTTAATGTTAACTCTTAAACCTACTAATTTTAACAACATACTAATATGTAGCTACTAAATTTTGCTTATGGCAACGTGTCCCCACTTGGGAGTCCTCGTGAGCCAGCTAGGAGCTCTTGGGTTCACTGCTGAGTCTGGAGGTCCAGTTCTGGTCCAGTTCAGTGTAGCTCTTGAGCACCGAAGTGCATTGGGGGGTGCAGACCTTCAGTTGGCCGGCACGGACCAGAGGTAGTCGATAGATATTAAGTCTGGATGAAAAAAGTCCCTATATGCCACGGAAAAAGCCCCGACCTACGGTGGCACGTCCCTGCTTGAAAGTCCTCGTGGACCCGCTACCAGCTCTCAAGATTCACCGATGGGTCTGGAGGTCTGGTTCTGCTCCAGTTCGGTGGGTTCATTTCAGCTTCTCTGCATCCGCTGGGTGCCAGTCAGATCAAAACTTTACCTCTAGCTTTTTCAGCAGATGAAAACGGGGCTTCTGGGTGGTGCCCTGTTGCCTTCTGTGATCATTATGAGCGGGAATACAGGGAGACTTACCAAGAAAAAACTACAAAATGGCGGCGCCTGTCCGAAGTACTGTATTTTTTGTTAACTTTTTACTGTACGGTACTGTATCCAGTACTGTCCCAATTATGTGAGTAATCTTAAAGTTGACAATCATGTGTCCTGTACATTTATTTTGCACAGTACAATATTATGTACTGTACATGCACAAACCTCTATAAAACAAGTCGAACCGCAAAGTAGCGAGGGACTACTGTACTGGAAATTTTTATTCTAACAATTTGACTAAACCCGTCATTTCTTTAGAACCATAACTTTGTTATATATTGCACATAAATGTCAGTTTAAGTTAGTGCTGCCTGAGCTGAGCCAAAAAATATGTGATATGTTGGCTTTACCATTTGAGTTGCTGGACATTATATCTTTATATGTATTTCAGTAGTAAATTTACTAACATAATATATATAAAGGATATAAAATAAACTTTTAACAGAAATGTATACTAAAAACTTACATTATTATTTACAACCAAAATGGCAAGAAAAAGTTGTGGTTTAATTAAGAAATATATGTCCTATATAGCTCATGACATTTTTCCTCCCCAACACCATCCATTTATTTCTTGTATTTTCTTGAAGAAAGAAAAATCATGTGAAAACTTCACGATTATATGAGATTGTTCAATTTTAATGTATAACATATTTTTTTGTGGACAGCTCTTTGACTGGCCTTAGTCTGGCAAAATAATGAGCTAACCATTGGAGCCGAAGTGGATTGTTGTGGTCTAAAAACAACTCAAATCTAAACAGTTTCATAGTGGTTCATGTGAAACCAATTTTATAAACATTTACAATGCCATTTATTTTACATGACACTGATTTTTGATAGTAATAATATAATATTTATGCACTATGTGCCTCAGGCTGCACCAGAAGTGCTACAACTAGTTGTTGCTGCTTCTAGTCCTACTTGTAAACAACCACTGAACTCCAGGTAAATAAAGGTTTATTAAATAGCTTTTGCATGAACCATTTGAAAATGTTTGCAGTTCAGTTTGATCAGACTAAGCACTAGCAGGTCAGTCCAGTCTGAACTATTCTCTTTTTCTTCTAATTGAGACCATTCAAAAAGCTATCTACAACAGGTAAGATAGTAATTGTTTAACCTTTCCACGGTTCCCCACTTCAAAATATCTGAAGTAGTGCTTTAAGATTTAGTAATGAAAAGTAAAAAAAGAAAAAAAAATTAAGCCACAGTGATTATTTTTCACTTATTTATGCTCTACTAAATAAGTAAATTCTAGAAATGGTAAAAAAATACAATCTTACTGCACTTTTTCAAGAAAGCTAAATGTATTAAAATAATACATTTTGATTGTTTCATATATCTGAGTAGAAAAACAAAGGCTAAGACAACTCGGAAGTATTCACAAGATCAATATCCTTTGCCTAAACTGGAAGGATTTAGTTTTTTAAGATGGAATAACCCGTATAAATACTGTTTATATAATAAATCAGCATGGAAAATGATGGTTCCTTCTTCTGGGTCAATGACCCTTCGAGCTGTCTGTGACACTGAAAATGCACACGCATCAAAAATTGTTTATGTCACAGGAGCCACCGTGACAGATCTGCAGGCAGATGGTGGTTTTGACACCAAAGTTTTTAAGACCTCAGCAGCAGCGCTTTACTTTGACCAAGAAAGGCACTCAGTCCAACTTCCTTCTTTCGCCCTGTCAGTGTGCTCATCAGCACATTCATTCTGCTTTGTCAGTCAGAAGTGTTTTATTACTCTGGATACTTGTTTTTATAGTTCCTCCCAGCATTATAGTACCCTGCACTCATTCTTCCCCACTTCTCATCGCGTCCACCTCCATGCAGAGCTCAGCCTGTCAACAATTAATGCAAACATTAGTGTTGAAACATATTCACAAAGCTGAGCTACTTGTAGAAAACATGCATTTGTTGTATTTGATCTGAGTTTTGTCAAAATCAAAGTTTCTTTATTTGTCATACATGTGGTACATGTGGTGGAACGAAATTGTGTACACAGGGTCCCGTTTATATCCAACAAAAGTATAAATTGTAAATAAAAACAGTACAGTTTTGTGGAGTACAAGTTGAGAAGATGGA